TTTTATTTAATTGTTTTTAGAAAAGAATACAGTTAGGCTAAACTCACTTTTCGGAACATCAGAGATTTGATAAAAAATGTTAAATGTTTACCTTTTAACTTTACTAAGTAACATGTGACTTTTAACCCCCCCCCCCCTCCCAACCACTCAATCACATCGTGCGAGATTGTCCTAAACAACATTAGCAGCTTAATTTCTAGGATACAATAGGTTAATCAATATCGAGATCTGAGCGAAGGAATTATTCTTTACCATTTTTAAATGCCTGTTTTTTTTTCAGATGATTGGGGCGAATTTTCTCTAACTTAAGCATTGTAGTAACCCTTGGACTTCCGGTCCAAAGACTATCATTTATGAATGAATTACGTAAGACCCTGTTGAGACGTAATGTAGTGTATTTTTGCATCATCAACTCTCCATCGCCTTTACAGCTAGAGCAATGGAAATGTGCACTTAAGCCATTTTTAAGAAGCTTTAGCATCGTTACGGGAAACGAAAGGAGATTTTATTTTTTAAAATATTGCTGCATTACTTAAGATGAACAGTACAAACCCTTAAAACTCCATAATATTGCAGGCTGTTTTGTGAAACATGCAATTTTCGATTTCTGTAATGCAGACTCAAACTTGACTTCCGGTTATGGTATGAAAATCGTTCAACCGTTAAATTACCGATAAATACCAATTTGAAGATATCCATAATTTTAAGATTTAAAATTTTTTTACTTTACATAATTATTTCACCCTAAAGTAGGATGTTGCGTTTCTTTTGCGTGTCAGTATATGTAATGGAAATGCGATATATATAACATACAAAACTTCGATATATATAAAGAGGAAAATTTCCACCGCCTAACCTTTAACGTGTTTAGTGACCTTCATCACAACAGAGACATCGCCGACATATGATAAACAGCTTCCGGTCAAATTTTTTGATTGTAATCAGTTGATGTTGCTGTTTCAGGATTGTATTCAGCGTGTAATGTTTTCTTCATTTGTGTATCTTGATAATTATGACGTTTAAAACTAAAGCTAAAAAAACTGCTGCTCTTCTTATATGTACATTACAGACGTGTTGGACAGAATGACACCAATGAGAGACTTTTAATACTGCTGTACAGAAAAATTTCTTCTTAAATATTTTTAAACGTTATTTTGGTCTTATTGATCAAAAGGGTTTATATTACATACAAATTAATCATAATAACACTTTTTGCCAGAAAAATAAATTTTAAACAAATGCAACTCATATCGCGTTGATATACACAATTTTTATTACGAACAGATGCACAGAAGAGTATAACATTGACATCAGATTCATATCAAAAGTAATCCCATCATATAGCATACCTCAACAAGGAGTGTACTAAAATTTCAAGCATCTGCAATGAGTAGTTGCTAAGAAAACTGCAACGTTTTTTTATGTATGAAATTGACAGATGCACAGACAAACAGGAAGTTGACATCGAATTTGACCAAGATGTATCCTACCGTATGGCATGCCTCAGAGAAGTTTATGTTAAAATTTCAAGCATCTGCTATGAGTACTTTCTGAGAAAACTGCGACAAAAAATTTCTTATATATGAAACGAACAGACGCACAGACAAACAGGAAGTTGACATGGGATTTGACCAAAAATGTATCCTACCGAATCGCATGCGTCAGAGAAGATTGTGTTAAAATTTAAACCATCGGCGATGAAAATTTGTTATGTATGAAACAGACAGACGCACAGACAAACAAGAAGTTGACATCGAATTTGACCAAAAATGCATCCCTAGGTATGACATGCCTCAGGGAAGATTGTGATAAAATTTCAAGCATCTGTGATGAGTAGTTCCTGAGAAAACTGCGACGAAAATTTGTTACGGACAGACACATGGACGGACAGCTAAACAGACAGACAGACACACAAAGGTAAAACAGTATATCCTTTCTACTTCAGAGCGGTATAACAATACGAAATGTGAAATGCTTCCGCTTACACGTCCAGCCAATGAGTATCATGTACATATTTGACAAGTACACATCATTACATATAATTAGAATAAATGTATGATATCATGTGTAAAACTACCAAAGTAGCGTGTTTTCAATCAGACGTTTTACTAAAAAAATGCATGCAGTTTATCTTATCTTGCAAAAATTGTGATTAATGCTCTTGTGGGTGCAACTTTGTTGGTTTTAAGAAATATTTACCTTACAAGTACATGTACAATATAGGCAAGCACCAGTCCTTTCTAGTATATACAATGGAATACAATTTATTAAAATATAAATCAAAGCGTCAAAAATATTTTTACTTGTGCTTATGTGATTTTTGTAAAACATTGATGAAGTTTATGTGTTTGTCACGTCATCAATAAAGTCAGTGAAATCAGAAATACAATATGCTTTATTTCAATATCTGAGAAACACTTTTCCCATATTGACAGTACATGTTTACATAGTTTACAAACAAAAATCAAGACCGAGCTCGAGACAAAAGATCATGTTCTTCCCGCACATTAAGGCTTTGGAAAGCCTTTACAGAGCAGATGAGACTTAAAAAGCTTGTGCAGAGTAACATCTACAATTTATCACAAACACTAGCATTTATTCTGCAGTTTAGGAATCTTAGTATGGACCTGTTTCAGCTTCCTCAAATAACCCTCTTAAGAGTTTTAAAGGAATCTAGTTATGTTTAATGCAATTATGATTAAATATAATTTTTTCACAAAAGTAAGGCAACATTGATTCGAACCATCATGTATATGTGGTATATTGTATGATCGATGTATGCGCCATGTTAAGCCTACCTCTAAGTTTATTGATCCATCACATCAACATTATAGTCTTTGAAGATTTTCCATATGAACATTCTGGTCTTCGCAGCCATTTCGATTGATTGAACGACTTGCGTTAACATTTATTTGTTTCGCATGCTTTATAATTTTCTTCGATGCATGCTGAGATAATATATCAACCATTGCCTAAATTAGGCAAAATTTTATTTTTTTCATGTTTTTTCTTTGGATTGTTTATTTTTTCAGCAACCTATTTATGTCAGTTAGTCACTTTCTTACTCGTCTTAAAAGTGATGTATTTGTCTGAAAGTAGAAAAGGAATGGTTTTTGATGTTTGAAGTAGCGTCCTTTTAAGTTTTCTATCAGATTTTGAGGATATCCCTGTTTTAAAAGGTATAACTTGTCTGATGTATTTGTCTGAAAGAAGATACTTGTGGAAATAAACAATTCACTATATTTCCTTTTTACAAACTTTCAAGTGAAAGTGATATTCAGAGACGTGAGAAAGAAAAACATTTTATAAATATGTTCAAACCTAGACTGAACAATTGAGCATAATTGTTGTAAAAACTGTACTTATTATTTTCATTCTACAGTTTTCCCGCAAAGTTTGACTATGACGTCACAATACACATTTGTATGTAATGTTCCGCTTATTATGACGTTATGACGTTATGTTGCTATGTTACGTATTATAAAGCTTCTGAAGATTTGAAATGAAAGCGCTTAAGCTAAACTAAAGGTTTTCGTGTTTCTTTTTTACAAAGATTTACCTATATATACCCATTACCTAACGGGGGCTTTAAAACTTGCTCTGACAGAAGATGTCTTCTTTGTAAGCACAGCACTGACACAGACAGTTTTAACAGTCCTGTTACAGGCCGCAGCTACAAAATACTAGGAAGTTTGTCCTGTCATACTGACAACTGCATTTATCTCATCAGTTGCAAAGTTTGCTCCAAACAGTATATTGGTGAAACAGGAGATCTCCGCAGGAGAGTCAATAACCACCGTTCGACCATTAGGACCAAAAAACTCAATGAACCCGTTGGGGAACATTTCAACCTTGAGGATCACAAATGGGAGGACATGACAGTAGTGGTGATTGATCATAACCCAAGATGGACAGATGCTCAGAGAAAAAGCAAAGAAAAGTTCTGGATGCACAGATTGAAGTCATTCCGCCCCAATGGTATTAACAAACTGAATGACTTCACCAGAATGAACGTAAACTAGACCCGATTCCTGATGATTCCAAACAAGATTATTCTCTTAATTTAGTGTAAGCTCTACAGTTGATTTGCGTCACCAACTCTCGAACAACCCACAAAACTATGTATTGCTTACGCCTTTGTTAATTTTAAAATTATTAATTATTTTTTACCGATAATCAGTCCTAAAACATTTCAAATTAAAATTTATAATAGATCATAATTCATATGTGAAAATGCCGCTTCTATATTATTTTTCTTTGATTATTCTTTATGAAGTATAGTTACGCCATTTTGAGAGAATGAAACAATGTACGATTTACTGACTGTCGTAATTAATTAGCATAATTAATTCGTTCAGTTATGTAAATCGCACTTCACCCGAGTATACCCGATAGACCGGACGTATTTCATAGCGATCCGGATTCTTTCTTTAATAGTGTTCTTAAAAAATTCCAAATCAACATGTAACTAAGTATGTAAATATATAGTGTTTAGTAGTTTAGTAGTAGTGCTAGTTGTTTTTTGTTTCGCTTTTTCCTTTGTTCTTATGACTTTTTAACTCTATTCTTTGTCCTGAGGAAGGGACAGGGCGTCCCGAAAATTTGACAATTTTTATTGTTCGTGTCGTTGGTCATTTTTAGTGCTTTATATATATATATATATATATATATATATATATATATATATATATATATATATATATATATATATATATATATATATATATAGACATGTATATAAAAGTCATTAGATTTAGCTTAGTAAGAGGTAACCGCAATAATGAACAATTTGGACAAATAAACAGGAAATCTTAGAGATAACTGGCGTCTATTTTATCTTTTTATGTGTGCTTGTAAAAGGGGGACATAGTTTTTACGTGCAGTGTCAAATTAGCAACAGAAAAATGATTTGCAATAGCACACATAGATCGATTGACCAAAATCTTATCAGTTTTTCAATCTAATAACTGGAAGTTATAAGTTTTAGCTTTACCTGAAATTGCCTATAAAGTTTGCACTTCTCAATATCATTTGCAGTTAAGACACGAAGAACATGACTTTGACGGTGTGCCTTGTCTTGTGTTTCTTATATTTTACCATTTCCTTTGCATCGTGAGTATTTCTTTTAGCCAATTACTGTAGTATTATTTAAAAAAATATATTTAAAAAAAACAAGGAAGAAAAGAAAAAAAACCATTCAGCAAACTTATAAGATATGATTAAGCGCAAGAATGAAAATTTTCTAAGCAGAGATTCTAGTGTTATTACGAAAAAATAGATCAATTGCGAAAAAAGGCGATTTATAGTACAAGTAGTCGTAGGTTATAAATATTTTGCTATAAATTACTGAGGCAAAATAATGAAATGAACATTAAAAAAAATATTTGATTATATATTGATTATCAGACAGTCATGTAATTAGGGCTCAAAAGGTGTCATTAAAAACCTCTTCACATTCTATATCTCAGGAAGGAGAAATAAGATAAATAAGAAATCGATAAGCACTTGTAGACAAAATATGTTGAAAATAATTATCTAAACAAAGTAAAACTAGCTGATTAGATAAACTCCACTCATTTTGGAAAACATTGGAACTACTGAAAAGATTTCCATACATTTCTATCAGGTTTCCAATTTGAGAAACCTGGATTTTCCCTCTTGTGATCAAAAGGAAGAGGATGCTTCCTATTGACAAAATTCATTCAGATTTATAAAAGAGAAAAAAGAAATATTCTCTGACTTCGACATTCAAATATACCTATTATCGGCCATTTCATGTACAGTAGGGGGACAAAAGTGTTGAAAAAAAATGGCGCCAAGTTTCCAACAGAAGAGAGACAACTGGAGCGGAAAACCGTCTTGACAGCTAACTTACATTGACAAAACTACAAATAACTTACCTAAATATCTAGTAAGATGACCTTTTAATCTGATGACCTGTTGTATTCTTCTTGGAATCGATTGATAAAGATTTCTGACATAATTTACAATGATGTCCTGCCATATCCTAAACGTTTCTTGAAAAAGTTCGTCTGAGGAATTTATATTGTGCATCCGTGATTGGAGTTTTCTTATAATATAAAGCCATACATTTTCTAAGATATTTAAGTCCGGAGACTGTGCAGGCCAGCTCATGTTCTTAATATGGTTTCTGGCAATAAAATCTTGTGTTACACGAGAGCGATGTACGGGGGCGTTATCATCTTGAAAGAAGTAACTTCCGTGTGGGAAATGCCGCACTAGTACTGACCAGAGGTTTGAATCTAAGATCCCTTCCACCCCACCCAAAGTTCCGATATCGCCGAAGCACAGGCACCCCCACACCATGATACTGAATTTGCCGCCATTTTGTCGTGGCACTAAGTTCGATCTTCAACCTTCGCCTGCTTTTTTCCAAACATAAAAAGGATTTTTTTCCCCGACACATATCTGAGATTCAATGCTGAATAAAACTTTGGACCACTGAGTTTGTACACTCCACCATCTCTTCTCCCTACACGATGACAAGCGTTTCTTTCGGTTTAAATTTTTAATCACAATGTTTTCTTATACACACCTCTAGTGAAACCATTTTCTTTAAGTCTACGTTTGACAGGCTTCTGAGACACAAATGTTGCCCTATTTTCATTAAATTGCGCTGTAATTTCTCCTATGGGTGCTCTACTATCTCTATTAACAATCTCTGGAGCCTCCGATAGTCCCGATCGTCGAAAAAACGAGGCCGACCCAATCTTGGCAAATTCTCCACTGATCCTGTGTCTTGATATTTACGTACAATACGAAACACTGAAGCCAAAGATCTATTGACACTTCTTACAATAGCTGACATTTTTCTCTGTTTAAGAAAAGTTCCACAATAACTTGTTTCAGGGGTTGTGAGATTTCCTGACTTTACGTCTCCATTTTGTTACCGAGTTAGATCGTCAACAAAACTATAGCAGATGACAAAATATACGTCATGCTATATGTCATTTGTACTGATCTATTTATATTTCAGGGGGATTTCCGAAATTCCAACTCTGAACAAAATACACAACGTTTAATACGCCAGGACCTACTATTTACTTTAGTTTCGCCATTTTTTTCTCAACACTTTTGTCCCCCTACTGTACTTTAATTCACATCTCGAATCGATATTTTCCATTGAAACACGGACCTTCGAAACTTCAGAGGTGGGATCAGGTGCCATGGAGAAGTAAGCATCCCTTGCTGTCAGGTTACACCCACCGAACCACTTGATTCTCACATTACGCAAGATCACATTTTGTCTGCAGTAAAAGACACGCGGGTACGTTAAGGAAGCATATAAGTCATTTCTCGGGAAATTTATACTTTTTAAAGAAAATTAAGTTTGATAAATTACCAAAACCGCTGATAAACGTAAACTGTTATTAACTATTGTACACAGATAAAAGAGTGTCTAACGCACAGACGGGCACCACCGCCACGGCATCACGTGACTTCTATTTATAGCGAAATTTTCCTTAATAAAAAAGCTAACAGAACAACAATACCCCGGAGTTTAATAATTTCTATGAGTAAATAATATAGTTGAAAAACATCTATTTTGCCTAAAAAGTGCTGCTAGAATCCCGCTGTCCTTTCAGTAAAATAATTATTCCACAAAATCGCACGAAACCTTACCCTATGTTTTGAATTTGATACATATTAACTGCGATTTTTCGTAAAACCATGTTTAACTCGGGGTTGTAGCAGCACTTTCCAAGTTTGTCAGAAGGCAAACATTCCAACTGTACAAATTTTATGTTTTGAAATATCCAGCTTATTGTTGTTCTGCTGCATTATTTTTGACACAAATGACAGACGAAAGTCCGACCAGGATACGTATAGAGCTGACTGTCTTCGAAAAAGAATATTATTGATGAAAATAAATTAGCATACCTGTTCAATTAATTGAACTCCATATGAATTTCACAAAATATTCACGATATTTCCTTTTAAACTCCATTTTACGCATCTTTGTAAATGCCGTCTTAACCAAATTCTCTTAACACGACATGATCAATTCCCAAGTTACTTGAAGTACACATATGACGTAATCGGTGATAGATTTTAACAAAAATGACAGATACAGCATCACAATATAAAAACATTTCATTTTTGTTAATGTTTACACGTATCTATTCATTTTCTAGAGTTAAATTACATATGTAAATACCTAATTACGAAAACTTGTGTTATAAAACTGACGTCACATCACCTACTATGACTTAATAATATAGCACTGATCTAGTCAAGGTAGACTATTTTGTATGCTTCCTTCTTACCCCTGCGCCTCAAATACAACAAATCTCTCGGAAGCGATCAAATTATTTATGAACATTTCAATACCACCATTTCATTCTTCTTGTCTTTATACAAGAAATTGATTTATCTTTGACTATGGGATAGTACTGGAAGAACATCTTATAGGCATTGAAAACATATTCATAAAAATAAAGGAAACCTGACACAACCCAAGAACTTTCGCCCGATCACATAATTGAGCTTCCTTGAGATCGATTATAAATCTATGCATATTATGTCAGTCTGATTGATGAGAGTCAAACATGTTTCAGAAAGGGTACCTCTACTTTAGATAATATATTGATTTTGAATCTTTTGTCGCAAACACTAATAAATAGCAAGCAAAGATTATACTGTGTGGTCATCGATTTTAAAAAGGCTTTTGATACTGTTTTGAGAGGCAATCTTTCGTACATATTGTTTTCAAATAGTTTTAATGGGAAGAAGAAGGATATGGAGATAACGAACAGTATTCAAAATCAAAGTCCATAAAACAATATAAAATAAAAGCAGAGCAAACACAGACCTCTGAAACATCAGAGGTGGGATCAGGTGCCATGGAGGAGTGAGCATCCCATGCTGCCCGGTCACACCCTCCGTGTGCTCCTTGTCATGGTCAGGAAATAACGGAAAAATCCGTCTTCAACTCAGTTTATAAATAATGGACTTACAATATGATTCTAGACATCTTTGTTTTGAAAGCTGGATAAAAAGTATTATGTTGTATATCAAGAATGTTTTTGGTTATGATGAAAACTTCATAAGAATTGAACACTTTTATAACATACTGGGAAAGAGAAACAATATACCCTGTGAATAAATCATGATAAAAAGGCACTCAGAAAATACCAAAACAATTTTAATTGTACTTTTGCAGGATGTTTTAAATGCATACACTAGAAAAAGCTGCTACATGCTTTATGCTTTGATAGTAAATGCAAGTATTGTCTTTCGAATAGTCGAATCATGACTGTTGTCTTTCAAAAAAGTAAGTCTATTCCATAAATTTCATACTGAATAGAGCTACGAATTTCTCCATTTACTCGACCAGACGATCAAAGTACAACTATCTTAGCTTTGATTTAAGAAATTAGTTTTTCTTTTCTTTTCTTTTTTTTTTTTTTTTTTTTTTTGAAAAAATATATACATGTATCTTAGTCACCATTCCAAATTCAATTTTTTTTTCAAATAGACAAAAAAGTAAAAAAAAAAACAAAACAAAACAAAGAATAACACTCATGCATATTTGTAATTCATATATAATATATCGTATTATCTTTTTTAAAGGAGTGGAGAGTCTACCTTAAATAAATATTTGTCTGGCTACGTAGACTATGTTTCCACCGCAAAGAGCATAATTAAGAGTCCATTCTTTTATGGTCCAGGTAATTTCATATAAATACTTTTAAGCAGCTTAGTCCGAAACTGGAACTTATATACAATAAAAGTACGTCATTATATCTAGATAATATATAAAAATAAATTATGAGATTGATTTAATAGTTTATTACAACAATCATTACAAGGAAAACATAGATCAAAAACTTTATTGACAAACAGAAGTTCCTGATAGGAAGTTAAGATTTGCTGTGAATCACCTTTGAAAAAAAATAAATTTATCGTTTATATCTAATTTTGAAGAGGGATATGGAGATAACGAACAGTATTTAGTCTTAAAGTTCATAAAACAATACAGAATAAAAGCAGAACAAACATGGACCCCGAAACATCAGAGGTGGGATCAAGTGCCACGGAGGAGTTAGCATCTCCTGCCGACCGGACACACCCGCTGTGTGCTCCTTGTCATGATCAGGAAATAACGGGAAAAGTCCGTCTTCAATTCAGTGTATAAAAAATGGACTAACAATTGGTATGAACAACGTCAGACAGCATTTTACTTAATGATAAATTGTATTTGCTGACAAGGTCATTGTATCGACCATAGAACTTACGAAATGATGGACTTTAAACGAGACTGCTGATATTCTTGTTTCATCAACTTGCTTGTCAATAATTTACCTCGTTTAGATCATTCAAACCCGAGTATTTTTTCCATTATTAGAAGGCTAAGTCATAGTATTTCTTTAAAAAATTAGGGCATATATTAACATGCATATTTAAAGAATAAAGGGAAATCGATATTTTCAATGAATTTTTTTAAAGGAAGTTTAGTCACGAAGGGCAAAAATATTGTTCGTGTGCAGGTATAAGTACTTTGATGTAAAAATATAAATAATGTTCGGGTTTGTTCTTCTGGAGATATTAGCGATAAATTTGATTTTTCAAAGGTGACTTCATGCGATATCAACATAGGATTATGTTTTGTGTGACCTAGCAAAAATTATTTTTTCAACATTTGAATTTTGATATCTTTTAAAAGAAAAAAGACTTCGGAGATATAATTTGACAAATGTTGAAAAAATTTATGGACGATTCTTTTTTAAGAGAAAAAACCGTTATATTTTTCACGATTAGAATCGGACTAAGCAGCCTTAAAATGAAAGAAAAACATACAGATTTTTTGGGGAAAATTGCGAATTAGGATTGCTAGTTTTGAAATTATAAACAATTTCATTTTTTTTTTCAGCCACAGCGTTTGGTGTAGTGAAAGGCATTTCAAAGTCTGAGAAACTTCAGCCACGACTGAACTTGACAATCAATAATGAACTGACAAATGGCATTCTTGTAAAACCCGATATTGACTTGGAATACGGTGTAGAAGAAGCTAATCCGAAGAGGAGGATTAATCCTGGGGAATCTTTTTCTATGAGTTTAAGAGGCACAAATTGTAAGGCAAAAGGCAAAAATTATGAAAATAGATATAAACTAGACAAAAATGCTAACGAAACACTTGCTTATTCGTATTTATGAATTGAACGTTTGCCGGATCGATACTAGTGTATATGATAATCATTATTTCCAAAACTGTGTGATTAACAAATGTCCTGATATCATGTTAAGATTCTTAAATGACCTTCTTATCCAAAAACCAGCTGTGCATTGCGCACCATTTTTGCCCAGATATGAAATTCATGATCACTTAATGTGGTCTGTAAGGTTGCAACAGGAGTAGTCCCCCAGTTACAAATCAAATAACAAACATTTATTTACTCTCATATTGCCTACTTATCATCCTGTGCCTTAGAGTCCATACATTTCAGCTTCCTGTTGACCCAGTTTTGTGTTACATTTTTCAACTTATTATATGCTAAAAACTTAATGAATTGGCTATCTATTGTAAATATTTCTATTTTTTTAAAATATATTTACAACAAATTTTCATGAATAGAATTCCTAAGCTTTTTTTTTCATTTTTTACAGATTTATCTGAAGGGACTCCCCTGCAGACGCCATATTGTCTGCTTTAGCAAGCTCCTCTAGCGTCAAACACCACATACGATGTAACTTTTTCTGAGTAGGAATTAGTAGGAATGTAACGAATACGAAGAAAAAATGAATGCTTTAAAAAAAGGGAATATTAACGATTTAAATTCTTTAATGAACTGATCACTCCTCAGTAAACATTGTAGTTATTTACAGTGTATAAGGTTTGACACAATAGATAGGCCAAATTTTTCCTCAAATTCAATTTTCCTGAAACTTTGATATTTTGTTCTTGGATACAAAATCTCTCTTTATGTATGATTTGAAAGAAATTCAATCGCACATTTTTTGCCCACATAGTCTGAAATAAGGCTTATCAGACCCCTGTAAGAAGATTGTGAAATCAGACATTAGACTTGAGAATGAGCCTTATTTTAGAATTATCAATTGATCTATTGCAAATTTGTGTAATACTTTTAATAAAAATAACATTTTTGTTGCTTTAAGTTAGTAAGTCAACTTGATACTGGAAAATTTGAGTAAAATATTAAGTAAAAATAGAACATACGTAGCGTCGGAATGGAAAATTTACATGAAATTATCCGACAGTTTAAGTTTTCGTAAGAGAAAATGTTTAATTCAATTTTTACAAAAAATCAACAGAATGATTCAAATGGGTCCTAAAATAAAATGTTGAAAAATAAAGAAAATTGAACCGGTAGTTTCAGATATTTTTGCGATAAAAAAAATTTCAATGGCAAAAAAAACTAAAAGATTCGGTAGATGACGTCACAATAGTTGACCTTTGACCTCTTGATATGACCATGACCTTAGTAGGACATAACGAATGGAGACTCCTTATATATGTGTCCAAATATCATTCCTCTACTATATATGTTTATTACACTGTTACTGTAGCATAAAAACATTCCAAAATGTAAGCCCCCAAGTGACCAATATATAGGATTCTCTGATTTTTTCACAAAATATGACGCAAGCATGCCAAACCTATTATTTTTCTGACAGGGATCATTCATTGTTGCCAATATAGTAATATTATTCTTCTTTTCTCTGGTACTTTTTAAGAAATGGGTTAAAATAGAATCCACGGGTGTTTTGTCCTACCTTAATATGCCTCATTGTTTATTATATTATTTTATCAAATACATTATATACAGTTAAAAGTAAAATATTAATTATCTTAGGTGGTGCATTAGCAATTTTGTGCAGTGTATCTGAAAATCAAAATCATAATTCTATTCGAAATTGTCTTAGTGTTTGAAATTCATTTGGTGAGTTTCTATCTTTTTTCAAGAATACAAAAAAGTAAATAAGTTTTATTATAAAATTTGGTACTGTTTTATCGTGATAGTGCATTGAAAATATTTTTTCCCGAGCTACATATAAATTTGCAACTCGAAGGTTGTCAGATTCCTTTGTATGAAAGTAAAATTTACTGCCAGAATTGAAAACCTAGCACTATTATAACTGTATATTATATCAAGGAATATTCTAAAAAAAAATGTGCTCATACCAGATGATTATGAAGTGAAGGTAATAAAATGTTACAATCATTACAGTTTTACCAGTAGGGACGACTGGCGTACTGACTTATCATTTTAAGGAAACAGATTTTGCGTTATCCATAACTTGGAGTGTTCCATTCTTTTATTATGTGCCCTTGATGTACTCCGCTAATAATAGATTTGGAATCAATGTAAGTATTTAAATATTAAATTTAAATTTAATCTGAATAATCTTCTGAAACTATCAAATGTTTAAAATTAGGGATAAATGCTAGTAAAATATTGAAAACTAAAAATGATACAAATTTTTATATTATGATGTAAATGATGTATTCCTAGGCTTTTCTTTTGAAATTGTAACATTTTTTTTCTACAACGGCTGCTTCTTTACTCAAGATCAAATTATTGCAATTATTAAAAAAAAAACATAGCCTATTGTACATAGAGCCAGATACTAAAGCTCTTTACCCGATTTAGATCATAAAATAAAAGTAAAATCGCAAGCTCATATATTAAATTGAATTTATTTCAGAAATAAACAACGTTATCTAGTGAACATGGCGTTAGGAATAGCAATTGTTCTGCTGGCATATTCCATGATGCGCGCTAGCGCATCATGGAAAATATGCCAGCAGAGCTATTGCTATTCATAATGCCATGTTCACTAAATAATCGTTGTTTATTACTTATATTTGCATTCTTTGATGTTGTTCAAGAATATCAGAGAAAATCCTGACTTAACGTTACATAAGGACGTAGCTTCTGTCTTCAGTAAAGTAAACCATACGGCTGTTAAAATCAGTACCCCTGATCAATACTCCTTTTCTCTAATAAATCACATTTTATAAAGTTTTTCCCTTTCAAACACAGTTATCTGGATACAAGCAGCGCCGTCATCACATTCTCTTAATTGTTGTTTTGATGCAGTCATGACGTCATCGATCAACGTTCATGAAATCCTCTGACAAAAATCAATAATTTTACACTGTGGTAAAAATGAGAATGCTTTTATAATGATTATTACTCCAGTATGCTTTTCTGTAATTCTTTTTTTTTGGTACTTTTTCTATTTATTTTTTCTTGAAATAGACATAGATCTACTAGTTAAAGAAATTTTCTCTTTCTGAATGTTATTACCCAAGTTTGAAGAGTTATAGTTCTTTGTACAAGTGTGCATGATAAGAAAAAATAAAAATATGGAGTTCTATTCATTTTTTAAAAAGGTTTTATATTACAATTAAATACATTGACCAAAATTAAAATTTTAAAGATATCAAACAGCAATTTTAAATTGTTCTGAATTCCTTTTTTTTCAAAAAAAATATTATTAAAAACTTATATTTAGTCCTTTGACGAAACATTTCATATATATACTTCTCAACACGTTATATAAGTGTAGGAGAGCTTGTACTAAACTAGTGAGATAGAGCAATTGCACTCATTACAGGAACAGTTGCGTCTATAGTTCCATGAACGCAGTTGCTGGGTACATGTTCATAGTGGGAGAGAGCAGTGGATATGCAAATATAACCATATGTTTATATCAGTTAGATATCACCAGAATTTTATCATTTGGTCTGTATCACTTTCCAAAGATACGCTTAAAATATTTACACTAACTGCTTTTTCGTTATGCTAGATAACTTCATTTAATCATAAAGAGAGGTTCTGTGTGATCAATTGTTATGTACATCGCACAGATATTAATGTTCCTCTGTTTTTCATTAACCTTTGAAAATGTTGCCTCTTTAAAACTGTTTGAAATAAAATATTGCGATAACAGTAAGTATTTAAGCTCAAAATACATAAAAATACTAACCAGGAGTAAACAAACAGGGACTTCCCGAAACATAAGAGATGGGATCAGGTGCCATGGAGGATTTAGAATCCCCAGTTAAGAAAATTTGAGCATTGTGCAGTGTGCCGTCTGTGCAATACAGCTGCCATTTTTCAGTAAGACAGATTTTAAGCGCTTCTAAAACGTTTGTTAAAGGGAAAAGGATAGGATCGATCATAATGCAACACAAGGAGGAGTGCCTTGAGGAAAACTTATTTTGGATACCTTTTTTTCTTTGGATACCTGTGATCTATTTAAAGGACAACATGGGGCTTTAAAACACAAGTGTTGTATTATTTCCCTTGATTAATCATGTTTATGAAAATAGTGTTTTTCATGATTTTATTGTAAATCTGGGGTCTACTTTCATTGATATTTTTGATTTAGAGAAACAAGAAACACTCCTATTAAACCCATATTTAAGATTTGATAACAATGTTGATGCAATGCCACGTCTTCACAAAGATGATAAACGAAACAAGGGCTAACTATGATGATAACAGGAGCTACGCAACAGGAGTTGCAACTGCATTCAGTATACACCAATCGGCTTTGCAGCGGTTAAACTTATGTCTTCACCAGCTAAAAACATGGATGACAGACCAAGAACTGGCCATCAACATGTTTACATGGTTACATGTACCACACACAAACAGGGCCGTCAGACACCCCCTCCCACATAAGCAATCGATTAAGACGCAAAACTGCTGCTAAAATTGCCGGTTGAAGAAGTCAGCATAAAAGTGCACAGATTGTTTGCAAGAGACTGGTATTCGTCCACGACATCCGTGCATTGGATTGATTGATTGTATATTGATAAACGTCCCTCTCGAGAATTTTTCATTCATATGGACACTCCACCATTTGCCGGTGCAGTGCTCCTAATTTTGTCCTATACTCGACACTCAGGGCCATTGAGTAGGGGGATCTTTTTTGTGCCAGCTCCTACTGCGACACGAAGCCTCGGTTTATAGGCCTCATCCGAAGGACCGGTCTCCACGTGCCACATTGCGATTCGAATCAGCGACGTAGGGATTGACTTCTTACTTCGCGACTCTACAGCAGGCGCTCTAACCACTGCGCCACGCGGGTCCGTACATTGGAAACCCAATAGCGCTGAGACGTCGCAAAGTACATATTGTTATGCCCCTAGAATTTGGGGGCGATAAAAATGACATTATCTTAACTTTTCAATTTGCACCATAGGGCATGTATGATTTTTATCACAGCAAACTCTAAAATCACTTAAAATTAAGGTTTAAACTGAAAACTTAGATTTTTATTTTTAATCTGAATATGTGTTTCTTTTCTTTGTTGAGTATATAAGACGTCTGGTCACGGTCATGGGCTGGTGCACACTGACCTAAAATTTTCTAGTTTTTACATTCATTGATTGTATGTCAAACCTGTACTGTCTATAGAATTCTACATACAAAAATTTAACACTAATCGTACTTCAGAAATAAAAATAATGATTAAAAAAGAACTAGAAAGTCTGCTATTGCAAACAATAGCGTATGTCGCCTCGAACTGGACAAGACTTTCTTTTTTTCATCACTAAAACAATACCCATTAGCTAAGCTTTGACAACCATCAATTCGTATCACTCCTTTCAGTACTTTGATTTAAAAATCAAAGTAAAAGAATTTTCACTTTCCCCTGGTTACCATGTTACTAACAATCGATTATTTGAAAAGTTTAAATGCGAATCGAACAACTACAATTATGCCTAGGTCACATTTCCCGGCCGGTAGTCGTAGACCGGTGGTAATCGGTAGTAATCCGCAACCAACATCGGTCCACATCGGCCTAGTAGTCCTTAAAGTATCAGTCACATTATCCAGCGATGTGCATACGATGGGCAACCAATGCGTTTTATGAGAAAAATGGCGTGGTTGCCGGCCGGACTTACAAAGGCCCAGCGATACATTGCTAATCATAAAACGATGTTCCAGGATAATCGGTCAATGTATATTACATCGCTTTACATCGCTCATACATTGGTGAACATCGTTCGTACATCGGTCGACTACGGGCCAATGTTTGGTCGAACATCGACCGATGATCGGTCGTTATCTGTTGAACACCACTAAACTCCCCAATGACCTCAGATTCAACGGAAATTGGACGATGCTCGGCCATACATCGGCCGATCCTTGAAAGATTTGTTAATGATGGGTTGCCGATGATAAGCGATGTGAGGCATCGGTAGAGACATCGCTGAATTTTAACTACGAATTATTTCCTACCGATGACCTGACCGATTCGCAAAAACGACTCAGTCACTGTCCGATCACTAATGGTGCCCGGCCGGCAACCACGCCATTTTCATCAAAAAATGCATCGGTTTCTCATCGTATACCCCATCGTTGGATAATGTGACTTATACTTTACTAATCATTAATATCAGAAAGTTTCATGATGAATGTTCCATGGACAACAGAGAGCACTTCCGGACAAAATTCGCTATTTTTCACACGTTTCCTTGGCAACGATTTGAAACTGAATGACCACATAACAAAACTACAACTAGTCTTTTGAGGAAAGTTTCAGGAAGATTCCCAGCTATCTTCGAGAAGCAGCCTGGAGAAAAAACACGAGTACAATCGCAATGTGTCGTCCCCGATTTCGTTCGGGGCGACATAATAAATAAAAACATGACCGAATAAGTCAATAAATGTTTTGACAAATGGAAGCCAATGACGACTCTTTTTTCGATTTCAAAGTTTATTAAATAAATCCAATTAACAATTTTTCCGTGATCGTATAGTTTTAGAAATATTCGTTCCTTAAATATGATCAGAAAAGACCAATACACTTTTTATATATAATTGTTCAAAGGATCCGTCCAAAATATAAAGAGTTTAAGACCGAACTCCAAATAAATAAATAAACAAAAGTCCAAAAGAATGATTCCCAAAATAATAAAATGCCAAAGAGATGTAATAATTTGAGAATAAAACCGGGAATACTCTTTTCTGACCAAAACAGGGTGTTTTGTGCTCAGTGGGTATCCATGATCCCTGATATAAAAATATATTTCATTGGCTAATTCACCATCACGCAAGTGAGTTTAGGCTACATATGGAGGTTTCTATGCAAAATATCTAATTTAATTCCATCATTGCTCTACCTACTGAACAGAAATTGTTAAGACTTGTTTTCTTATACATTCTTGCTAGCCACGACATGAAATAGCCAGTACACATTATGACGTCATATTATGACGTCATCGAGCTCTACTAAACAGTGTATAAGAAACATCAACAAAATCGCTTCGGCGCAAGGGCAAACCTTACTTTGTTTTACAGAAGCAAGGTATAAAAGGACGCAGGATATACCAAGGATTTACGATTTTGCTGCACAAATGTCGGCACTGCAATTGTTTAGTTACTATCCGTACAAATTTAAGTTTAAACAGGGTAAAAATTCACAGTCCAGTGTAAGTTTCCTAAAATTTTTATCGATTGAAAAAATCTATAGGATTTTTGCAGCAATTTTATTAATTTTAATACTATTCACCTTAATATTATACATTGTTTACTTTAAATTAGATTGGACATGCCCTTGCGCCGACGTGCTTTTGTTGATATGATTTATTACCTAAAATGGGAGAGAACAATGACGTCATAATGTGCGCTTGCATTAATAAACTGTGGGTACTTAGTATGTATAAGAAAATCAATATGAACTTTCTCTGTACATAAAATATACAACTTATTTTTTTTTTTCAGCTCATTTGCATGGAAATATCCATATTTAGCCTTAACTCACTTTCGCACCAAGCACCTACGCTTTGTCCGTAGGTCTGTCCGTTGACCTATGAACCCCTACATGGCACACCCTCAAATGCAGGTAAATACATGTTACTAATATTTATGGGCTCAGTCCCCATCTATGCTCCACAGTAGTTCTAGCCTCAAGCTCTTTTACTTATTTACTTCAAAGTTCCCAATTTTATTGCTCTTAGTCAAAACTCTTAATAATACCATTGTATTTCCGTTCAAATTTTATTACTTACTATCGATTGGCTTGATTGGTCTATTAGGATCAATTTCATTACAAAATAATCTACCAAATTATAGTGCATTGGAACAACAACAAAATCCAATTTGTTTTGACAAGATAATAATTGTTTACAAAATTAAAGTCCTTTTTCCAATTATAAAGTCACCGAATTTGCGTCACTAATAATACACATTCTAATTTAATAAACCTTTATATCATTTTACTTTCACTGCTAATAACTAAAAATGATTATGATACTAATATTGTCTAAGTTTAAAATGTTCAAACAATATGTCTGTGCTAAACCCTATAGGTTTACACAAATACTTGTAACTTATACGTTATTACAACCAAACTGCAGTAAGAGCCACACATTGAACGCTGCAAAAAAGGGACATTTTTAGAGACAGTGCAAGTTTGATGGATCCAACAGTCTGTAGAAATAAACATAAAAAACAAACAGAATAAAGTATCTAAATTCGTTTTCGAAATACACACAGAATACAATCTCTCCCATCCAACATGTTGAAAAGTCACTTGACAATCCAGTTTTCTAAAAATAGATGGCAAAAGTTTTTTGGGCTACAAATTTGTCCTATACTCGGCACTGAGGGCCATTGAGCAGCCAGGGTTCTTTTCCTGCCAGCACTTATTGTGACATGGGACCTCGATTCATAAGGTCTCAACCGAAGGGCCTGTCTCCACGTCCCACAGTGGGAGCCAAATTAGCTAATGATATGTTAAATTTTGAATTTAATGATAACTTCAAAACATTTATAGGACATGGACACAGTTTCAGTTGAGAGTTTTAAACCAATTATTATTCCCAACTAAGGACCATATAATGACTTGAACACCATTTGTCGATTAGCAAATGAAATACAGAACTTTAAGTTCCTCAAAATGTAAACAAGCTTCATGTCTTGTTTTTGTTTACATATAGAAATATCATATAATAAAATTAAATTCAGCAAATTACTGGAAACCGTCGAATCATGTTTAGAATTAACATCTTCATTGAAATTATTAGCTTTGAACGTACAAGTATATTAACCTTTGTAAACAAAAACATGAACGTGTTTACGTAACAAAGGTTTAGAGCTCTAACTTTGATTTGTTTCTCGGAAACTGACGTTCAAACTTGACGATCATCAGAAAGACCTTAAATAAATATTTGTAAAAATGGAGAAAATTAATTAAATGTTAAGCTGAACCTGTGTCCATATGTTTCTTTAGATCATATTCTGAATGTACTTACGTATTTTCTATCATTTTAAGTTATTTATTTTAATTTTTATTTATTCTTTTCTTTATTTTTTGCACTTGAAATTATACATTAAGAGTTTTTTGCTGACAATTTTGTAATTGCATTCATTTTCAAAGATGAAGCAACAAACTCAATAAAATATTATATTTATATAAATTCCATTTATTATTTTGATTCTTGCATTTTTAGGTGTACAAAAAACCATGTGAACAAAAAGCGAATTCAACCCTAGCGATTCATGGGCCTGGAGAGTCTTATTCGTTTGAGTCGACGGAAGTGTACAAGAGTGAAAAAGTTGTGTTGTATGGAATTATGACAAGTGGAATGACTGATGCAAATCTTGAAATTTTTTTAACAAATTCATAGACGATCCATGCACATGTAAAGCAGAAATAGTGCAAGAATACCATGTTTATTTTCAAAGTCGATTTTAAATGATTAATTGCACATTCTGTTATTTTAAATAAAAAAAAGAATAAATATACTACATAATGCAGTCATAACATGTCTTGGTTTTGCGTAAGGAAGAATTGGTATTGTCATGTATGCGTTATGAGCACCTAATCAAACGCAAATTCAGAAATAATTATAACATGTATGAAGATGCATGCAAACAATTATGACGTTTTGTCACATGTTTTGTCAAATTTTATCAACTTTGTATACCCCTGCTTGCAAGTCATGAGAATATATAGTAATCTGGATGTCTGTCCGTCTGTTGTTACGCTTTGCGGTGCGCATTTTTTAATCATAACTCCTCTTGTGCCAATGAATTAATTTTAATGAAACTTTCACAGTCATCGTTTAATTGGCTTTTCCATCAACTAAGCTTACACTAAGGACAATGCATGGGTTTATAATATGAATCATATTTGCAGACAATCATTTACATTTATCAAACTATATATTTAAGAAAGGATTCATTGTTTTAAAAAATACCCCTACTCGCTTGTCTTGCATTAAGTACCAAAAGCAAAAGTTCTCTGACCTTTGGAAATGTTTTGAACTGCGGAGAAATATCCATAAACTGAGAAATTGAATAAAAACATACCTTGACCTCATTAAAGGGTCTCCTTTGAGATTGAGATTTGGGACTTTGAGATTGAATACTGTTCATTATCTCCATATCCTTCTGAGTAAATTCAAATGTCCTGTTGCTATCTGTTTCTGTCCGTCTGCTTTTGTCGCGATTAACATTTGAACATTTTCAGTTTTTTTCTCTGAAACAGCTCAACCAATTTTGACAATTAGCATCTATGGGTGAGGGGAAACAAATTTCTGAATTTCAATGTCCTCCCACCCCCCCCCCCCCCCCCTCACGGTTGGTGGGCTGGGGGTGCAAAAACAATAAAATAAATGCCATCTTCAAAAAAAAAAAAATTCTTACTTACTCCTGGATATCAATCAATAAAATTGTTTGTATGATTGTAATCAGCACTAAGTCCTCTACCAGAATTGAGAAATTCATGACCCCGTGATCAGGGGTCTTAGTGTTAGGGCGGGGCTAAACAGATTAAATAGTGAAAATGCATTATTTCTTTGAAATTCTTCATTTCTGCTCCTGGGCATTGAATACACTTATTAAGAGCATAATTATGTTTAATCTGGCAGCCTCTTCCCAAATTATTGTGAATTTCATGGCCCAATGGTCAGGGGTTCTGATGCTATGGCGGGGCTATGTAAATTATACCGGGGTAAAGTGAAAATGGATTATTTCTTTGAAAATCTTATTCTCTGCTCCTGGATATTAAATAAACTAACCAAGTATGTAGTTAAGTTGTATAAGGCTACTTCTTCCAAAATTTTGAATTTCATGACTCAGGGTTAGGGTTTCTAGTGTTAGGGTTGTGCTCTACTAATTATATAGTGAAAATGCATATAATTTTTTTTCTGCTTTTGGGTATTAAATAAACTAACCAAGTGCATAGCTATTTTGCATAAGGCTGTCTCTTTCAAAATTGTGAATTCCATGGTCCAATGGGTCAGGGATTCTGGTATTAGGGTGGGGCTTTATTAATTTTATAGTGAAAATTCATAAATTCTTTTAAATGTTTGTTCTCTGCTCTTCAGTATTAAACCAAAGAACTATGTACACAGTTATTGCGGGAAAGGATGCCTCTGTGAGATTCGTGAATTTCAGGGCCCTTTGGTCAGGAGTTCAAGGCAGTGCTTTAATAGTCATATTTTGAAAATACTTGACTTCTTAAAAAGTCGTTTTCTATGCTCCGTTGGAACTATTCCAATGATCTCGTTATATATTTACAGCTGTTTCTTCCAAATGATTAATATTAGGGACCTTGGGTCAGGGGTACTTGGAGGAGAAGGGCGGAAACATAATCTGGATATAAATCAATATTTTGAAGTCTGCTCTCTGGAATTAATGAATAATTTACAGTGAAAAAGAAAATATGATGTAATGTGGTCCCATTGCTAGTGGTTCCTTTGGGATTGATTGCATAACTCGTTATAAAGTAGAAATGCGTTTTCTCTGATCTACATTTAGTTTAAACTTTATTTCATTTCAATTAAGCATCATATATACACAGTGGATAATGCACAGAGGATTCGGAAACAAGTAGTAACAACCTACAGCTAAACTAACTTTTTAAACTCACATGGTTTTTCGCACAAATTAAGGTCACATGGCTATAATGCAAAATGGTGTAAAGTGACAACAAAATAAATTTTTTTAATGATTACATGTAATAACTTAATTCTGATCATATTCCATTACTTTAAACATAATTTCCACACATTAATCGGAGTGATTTTTATATGCTCTTGGATGATATATTATGTGAGTTTTCAAAATGGTTTTTTCATTGTTTCTCTTCAGATGCAACCGTCTTTGTATGCATTCATTTTAAAGCATACTTTTGCCTTGCCCTCATCCAGAAATTGTGCAGTTTATATAATTTCTGTATTTTCCGTACATTATGACACTAAGGCGCAAGATGATAAAAGTATTTCTCATCTGTTTGACTGATTTCCATGTTAAAAAGATGACATTTTTCATGTTAACTGCCTGAAATCTAGCATCATGAAAGTTACCTACCGACGCAAAATTTCAAAGTTACAGACCATAAATGTAGAAAGAAAATCTTTTCTTTATTTACAATTTAAGTTGAAAGATAAACAATGCTTTATTATCATATCCTTTCACATGATTTCTTTATCAGGTTTTGTCATTTTTCGGCGCTGCATTTTGATAAAACCATGACAAGTATTGAAAATGTGCAACGTATCTAGAAAAATACCCATCTGTAAGAAGTCAATTTGAACATTTCAACCAAATAGCATCAAGGAAAGTTCTATTAATGAATTTGTAAATACATATGATAGAATCATACAAATTTAACATTATACGATTCATAAACAAATTCCCTTTTAGAATACGGACTTCTAAAACTTAAAATAATAATTTTAGAGAATAGGCACCTATAATATGAAATATTTCATAATTTAAGGCCTATACATAGGACTGAAATTCGATCATTGTAAGTTTTATTGCAAGAAAAATGTGACTTTAATTTGTGCAAAAAAACCATGGGAGTTTAAAAAGTTTGTTGAGCTGTATTTTAATCCTTTCCTTAAATTAACTTTCAACTATAAATAAAGAGCATTTCCCCTTTTTGAATGACAGGTATAATAGGAACAAAGACTGAAAAATAAAGATGAAGCGAAAATAAAATAAACAAGAAGCCCATGGGCCTTATAGGTTCACCTGAGTATCATGCAAAAACTTTACAACGATTGAATTTGGTTCTCATGTTTTAAACCAGACTTCATGGCATTCACGATTTTGAAAGAGGTGCCATTGCTAGTCGTAACTGTACACTTAGCTTGTTTAGTTTGGTTACTTAATACCCATAGACAGAGAAGGGGAACAAAAAATTTATTCGTACTAATCAATATATTCAGCAATAATCAGTATAGTGCAACTACCACAAATGAATCCCTGAAAATGGTCCACACATTTCACAATTTTGGAAAAAGCACCCTTCCTTATCAAAAATATTTGATTAATACAAAGGAGAAGATTTCAATCACTTAAGTCATTTTCAGTATATAAGTAGAGCCACCCCCCCCCCCCCCCCCCTATGGTACCCCTGACCCAGGGGCGTTGAAATTCACAATTCAGGAAGAATGACCCTTGCTCATCATAACTATATAGGTAGTTCATCTGCTTAATACTCAGGAGCAGAGAAGATTTTAAAATAATTCCTGCATTTTCTCTATATAACCAATAGAACCCCGCCCTAACTACAGACCCCTGACCCTGGGGCCATACAAATTCACAACTTTGTAAGAAGAAGCATTCTTGCTCATCATAACTATATGTAAACGTTTCTATCCCCGAATAAGTGTTCGAATTGCTTTATTTATCCAACAAGGATGGGATTTTCAAATTGTCACCATATTATTGGGAATATTACTTCTAGCATGCTGTATGATTGTTTCGTTAAGTCATTTTTACTTTGGTGTCGTTGAATCGAATAGTATTTCTTCCCAGTGGACTGAGTTCAGGTTATCTCTATATGAATGATAATCGCCTTGATTGAATAACGACATTTCGGCATTAAGTAACCAAAAGAAACCAAAATAAGCATGCTAAGTGTGTAGTTATGAAAAGCAATGGGACCTCTTTCAAAATGTGAATTTCATGGCCTTTGGTTTAAAACACGATTTAAATTCAATTCTTTGAAAGTTGTTACATTTTACTCAGGTTACCTATAAGGCTCATGGACCTCTAGTTATCTCCCTGAAAGCATACAACCCATGCAAAACTTAGTATATAACCAGTATGTTGGGTTAACACGGTAAATCTACTGACAAATTTTCATAACCCAATGATGGTTTGAATTTCTAAAAAGCTAACAATAAAATCAAAAGGTTATACTATTTCCATCAACATCAAAACCCAGGGCAAATCAAAAAGATGGGAACATGTTTGTGTAAAATAATATTAGTGTAAAACACTTTTCATTCGCTAGAACTTTATTTACGTGTAATTACGCAAGATACTATAATCACGGAATTGTTGTTCTCGGGAATAAAAGTATTCCTTAGGATTATATACAACACTTTCTACAATGCCTGAAAAATGTGTCTTTGTAATAAGTGAATTACAGTATTTGAAATTTGTAATTTTCAACCAATTAAGACAGATTTTACAATTTAATGTTGTCATGAACAAAATGGAATCCATCAGAATATTTCCACTCCGATGACTGTGAGGGCTGTAATAACAACTTCCTTGTAAGCTTCTGAATTAAACAGAAACAAATAAAGTCCATCACGATCAGCATTGAATACTCCCGTGCTTGTTGAGTAACCATGGTGAAACCCATGATGGAATACATCGTAAACAACTTGGGTTCTGAATAAGCCACTGCATGTATGAAAGAGGAAGGCGGGAATTTCGACACTTTACATGTACAACAAATAGCCACTTTAAACTCCGTTACCTTAAAATATTAAGCTGGAAGTTGA